AAGCTACACAGAGAAACCCTGTCTCAGAAAACAAAACAAAACAAAACAAAAAACAAAAAAAAAAAAAAAAAAAAAAAAAAAAAACCTAAGACAGATCAGATGGGGGAAACATCTGGGTTACCCATTTAAGCTAAGAGGGGATAGACTTACTTATGTTTAAGAACACAACCCAGATGGGTAGGTCAAAAGTAATTAAACTAAAAGACTAATGTAGATGTATAACAACTTAACTAACAAAATTTGTTGGATATTGATGAAATACTAATGAAAGACAAAGGCCTAGCTGTTTGAACAGCAAAAGACTGAGACCTCATCTCCACCCTCAAGGAGCCATGGTCTCTCAGGAAAGAGGGGCATCTCAAGATCAAGTGGTGTAAATGGGCTCCTAGCAGCTGAACAGTGTTTTCCACCTCTGCATCTGAGATGGTTTCTCACTCAGCACAAGATCTAAAGACACAAATTTTAAAAGGATTTAGGAAAGATGCATGGTTTAAGACCAATGCCCACAAATAACCTGTTTCTATTACATGAGCAACAAGTAAATGCCAAATCAAACTTCTAAAGTGGCTAACACAGCAAAGTGTCAAATGAACAAATGTCAAGGGGAAAAGATTAACGAAAGACACATAAAACCTTCACACTTAGAACTACAAAACACTGCTGGAGAGGACTACCAAAGACACATATGCTAACGATGAGCTACTCTAGGTTCATGGACTAACCAGAAAAGTCAATCTAGAATCAATACAACCCAAATCCAAATCTTCACAGTTGTGTTAGGGAGGAACCAGGTTAATGGGTGAAGTCTAAAATTTACATGGAGACTTAAGGAACGTAAAAAGTCTAAGCTCATATGGAAATATAGGATATAGATATGATAGGATAAAAGGGTGGATTATTGAACCTACTTTTAAAGAGCAACTTGTGTAAAATGTTTTACATTGCTATGGATTTTAGTTTATTGATACAAATTTAGAGTTGATTTTATTCTACCATATATATATTTCTACTCTTGTTTAAGGTATTATGTTTATGTAACTCATTTAGATTGTAATGGATAATTAAGAAATACAGATTAATAATTAGGCTTCTATGATAGTCAAACTTACAGTCATGTTAAATTTTCTAGGTATACATAGATATAATTCAATTAGGTAGATAGTCTCCAAACACTCCAAACACTACAAAATATGACATTTAAAATGTTTTAAAAATTTAGACTTTCTGGACGATGAGACATCCCTGCTTCTGGCAGCACCAATTAACTTCAGAGAGGAGGATGGGCATCAAAGACACTCTATATGGAGTTTATCTTCTTCTTGGCAAAAATAGCCATTTGGGCAAGAAACTGTTCTTGCCTGGACTGCTTGATCGATTGGACATGCAGGACCCATAGAAAGGTGCAAAATGGTCCTTCAGGTTCCTGCATCACAGAGGAAAATGCCAGACATTCTACAGGACACAGAGAGAAGTGGCTGAGAGACTCTAGGCCTGTGGGCTGAAGACAGATGCCCCAACTTTACAGAGGAACTTTGGATAACTGTCCAGGCTGCCAGCTGTCTCTGTCTACTCTCGCAAGATTCCCAAAAGTTGCTTGCGTCCTTCTCCCGTTTCTCAGGTAATATTATATCCTTCTGAGGTCTTTGATGTAGTTAGAGACTAGATAGTTGTAATTTCCTTAGTCATGATAAAAGATAAGTTAGATATGAAATTTTAGACTTACAAATATAGGATAGATAGAATATTTTCTTTAATTTTGCCAAATACAAATAGACTAGATATTATAAATAGACTAGTTATTGTAACTGTAATTTTTGCTTGATAATTGCTCTGTTATATGTAATTTTACTATGTTAAAGTTTATGTCACTGTGGAAGCAGTCTTTGAGGTCTCATACATGGTCAAGATACCACCCAGTGTCTCAGACCACTTCCTGTTGCCTGCAAAATGTAAGACTCTCAACTATTTCTCAAGCACTATGTCTGCCTGCATGCCACCTGCCATGATGATAATGGACTGAATCTCTGAACTGTAAGCCAGGCATTATAGCCAGAAGGTTTTCTCAGGTCTCGCCCAGTACCACCACCACCCCCAAACAAATCTATCTGACCTGCAGTCCACTGCTGCTGAGACCCAAGTAAACACACAAAGGCTTTTAATTTTTACTACTGTATGGTCTGTGGCAGGTCTCTTTCTAGCTAGCTCTTATATCTTAAAATAACCCATTTCTATTCATCTATATTTTGCCACATGTTCTCTGGCTTACAGGTCTGCTGGCATGTTGTTCCATGGGCGGCAGGCTGGCTTCTCCCCAGACTCCACCTTTCTCTTTCCTGTCTCTCTCCTTTCCCACCTGCCTCTAAGATGACTGGTCATAGGACAAAGCAGATTATTTATTAACCAATGGGAACAACATATATTCACAGCATACAGAAAGACATCCCCCAGCAAGCCACCATAATAAGATGTTTTCCTTATAAGAGTTGTCATGATCATGGTTTCTCTTCACAGCAATAGAAACCCTAAGACAATGCATTAATGGCATACATTATTATTCCTCTTAAAAACTGCCTCCGATGATCCAGTCCTGGAAGAGACTGGATGATTCCACAGTAGAATGTATTTAGCCTGTTCACTCATTTTAGATGGTTGTGTTTGGGGGGTGGGTTTCTCTATCATTTCAATCCAGACCACAACCATTCTAGCATCCTAGCATAGTCTTAGTCTCAACCATTAGAAGGTATCTTGAACAGTACTAACCTGGATTTCTATATGACGAGGGTTATCAATAAATTTTTCTACCAGTAGTCTATCATCACCAAAACTAGAAGCAGCTTCCTGGGATGAAAATCTAAAACCATCCCTGTGGAACAAAAAGGACAATTAGACTAGCAAATAAAAGATAGTCTTCCCCATAGAAAACAGTATTTGCTTCATCTTAATTCAGAACAAACTTGGAACAGACTCAGTGGACATACAGAAACTAAACTAACCTGAGCAGCAACTTCTACTTACAGCTCTGTGACCTTGGGCTCCTTATTTAAGGTTCTAGTCATCACTAATTTTCCATGGAAACAAGACTATGATTCTTGTTTCACCAACCTTTAAACACACTAGCAATGTTGGAGAGACAGACTGCTCAGCAATTAAGGGCACCAGTTACTCCTCACAAGGACCCAGGTTCCATTCTCATCACCTACATAGCAGCTCACAACTCCAGTCCCAAGGGTTCTGATACCCTCTTCTGCCTTCCACAGGCACTGCATGAATGTAGGGAATAGACATGCATGCAGGCAAAACATCCATACACATAAAATAAAAGTAACTTTTTTAATATACTTGCAAAACAATATATTTGGCTTAGAAATTAGAAGACACACACAAGAGTGGAAAGGGCCTGGCAAGTTATACAATTATGGGAGCAAAAGTGAATTGCAGCTGTGAGGTGTGTCCAGGGCCAGAAACAGAGCTGTCTCCCCAACACCACACAGGTCACTAGAGCTGCATCTTCTTTAAAATGGCTTAAAATATTTAAACAGAAAGGACAAGTTTTGAGGGGGAAAAAGTATAGATTTAATTATTGCTTCCTATTTGATTCCAAAACTAATTTAAATCATTATTACATCATTAAAATAGGTTTACTAGATACATATAAAATGGGGTTATTTGGTCAGTTCATTAACACTCAAAACTTAACTCAAACTCAGGACAGGCATGTTGGTGCACACCTTTAATCATCGCCCTCAGGAGGCAGAGGCAGGTACATCTCTGTAAGTTCAAGGCTAGCGTGGCCTACATAGTGAATTCTGGGCTAAGCAGAACAACATAGTTAGACCCTATCTCAAATGAATGAATGAATGAATGAATGAATGAATGAATAAAAAGCTAACTCAAACTTAGGATTCAGTGGTATAGCTCAACTGGTAAGGGTACTTGTCACCAAGCCCAATAACCTGAGTTTGATCTCTAGTACTCAGAGGGCAGATTCCCACAAGTTGTCCTCTAACCTCCACACATGCACCATAGCATGTGCACACTCTAAGGCGCGCGCGCGCGCGCACACACACACACACACACACACACACACACACACACACACACGCGTGAATAAAATAAGTAAATGTAAACAATTTGAAAGGAAAAAACACTTCAAACTTGTCTAAAAGTAACTGAAAATTTTTGTTCATTCACTTACATATTTGAAACATAAAATGTAATTACCTTTATTCTAACCAAGTCTGTCTTCATATTCAGTACTTGTATTGAACATAAAACATTAAAGCCAGTCTCTTCTAATCCTCTAGTGTACAAACAGTGCATCTGGCAGTGTTAATTTATCTGATGTGTTTGTGTCTGCACCTCAAGTGCACAGTACAGAAGGGACCTAGCAGACATATTTCCAAACCTGGGGGAAATCTCCCATTTCTGCTTCCTCAGAAAAAAGGTCTTACTTGGGTTTTCTTAGTCTTCCACTGTATCTTTGATTTAGGAAAAGTGTGTTCAGACTTGGGCAGACTACAAACTTCAAAGAAACTGGAAGTCAATGAATTGTTGTTTTCAGTACCATATAACCAAAGTTTTATTAGATGGGATAGATATTATAATTCATAAAGAGAATAACAAAGCACTTTACAGTTTGCCTCTAATGTAATGACAAAAATCTTTCATTTTGCTTTTAAGAACATCAAAAGTAAAATATCAAAGTCATCAAAATAAAATACAAAGTTTGAAAACATCACAGGTATACTTTGGAGCTAAAGGAAAGTTGTGTTAAGAGCATCCTCCAGGCTGAGCATATTGCTCAGAGCAGAAGCTTGGCACACGCCAAGTTCTGGGTTCTACACCAGCAACCAAACACAAACCTGTTACTTTCACTTGTTAATTAAAAAATAACTATCACTCACCAAGCAAGGTACCCAGTACATATTTTTGTACTTGCATCCAAAGAATAAAAAATATTTGCAGACTGTGTAATAAGAAGCCTCTTCTTCAGGATGGAAGATGGAAAGGAGAAGGCAGACAAGTGTGCTGTGGCACTGGCACCCCATCACTACCGGAGACGGCCACGGCCCCTGGGCCGATCTCTGAACTCTTCTAGACTTCGGTGTTTGTGTTTGGTTTTTGTTTTGTTTTGTTATTTGTTTTTCTAAATAAACAGAGGATATGGAACAGCTTTTTAAACAAAAGTATCCATCAACGAACCTAGTATTGAACTTCTACTCACCTTCTACAGGGATAGTTCACTCATCATGTTGAAGACAATTTTTAGGTAGAAAATTATCTATTTTTATTAACCACGTACTAACTATGTGTATCACGTACTAACTAAAAGACTAAAACATTTACCAGACGATGCTGCATGAATAGGCAGAGTGACTTCTGAACACTAAACTCTAAACTCAAACTCATAGATCAACAAGGGGGCATCAAAACTCACTGCCAAGATACCCCATAAAAAAATATGCTGCTCAGTCAGCGTCACCTGGAGAAATAGCTGATAGGAAATCAGAGGTCCTGAGAGTCATTATTTTTAAAAATTAAGTTGTATAGAGTGGTGGCACACACCTTTAATTCCAGCACTCTGGAGGCAGAGACAGGCCGATCTGAGTTTGGAATCAGCCTGGTCTCTATAGAGAGTTCTAAGTCAGCCAGGACTACAAAGTGAGACCCTGTCTTTTAAAAAGTGCTAGATTTCCAATGAAATGGAAAGGGGGAAAACAATGAGACAAAAATCAGGTTCCGAAAGCACACCTCTCTCACCAAACTCAGCTGTCATCAGCATCCTTTCCCATCAGCATCCTTTCCCACCCTTCCTGTAAAGAAAGGTAGCAGACCTTCTGTCCAGAGATGACACAACTGTGTCTCCAGAGATATCTTACCTCACCCCTTCTGCGTGACAAAGTACAGTCACAGACACACCCTGTGCTGCAGTTCAGAAGCATAGGCCCCTGATAATCAATAGATGACAGTGTATGAGAAACAGGGATTTCTGAGACTGAGTCAGGAAAGAGAAGGAGGAGGGATGTCCACTTGGATTTGAGACAACTGGTCTAACTGTGTGAGTGCTAGGAATCAAAGCCAGACCCCCTGCAACAGAAGCTGGTGTTCTTAGCCTCTGAGCCACCTCTTCAGTGCCCATTCTTCTGAAGATAGAAACCCACCCCTGCTCTAACTACTAGTCTCTCACTGGGACTTTTGCCTTTCAGAATTCTCAAGTAAAGCAGAGTTAGTTGTATGGTGTGCTTATTTACATAAACACTAAAAGCAAACATAAAAGATGACGAAATAACTTTAAAACAGTGCTCACCCATCTTCGATCATTTCCACTCAGGATCAAATCAGTTAACAACTCTCTTGTTTTGTGTTTTGTTTGAGACAGGGTATCACTTTCTAGCCCATGCTAGAATACCAAATACATTATGTAACCCAAGCCAACCTCAAATTTGTAGAGACATTTTTTCCTCAGATTCCCAGGTACTGAGGTCAGGGTCATATGGTGATATTTTATTTGTGCTGAAATGTGATTTTATTTGTATGTAAATAAAGTTGCCTGGGGATCAGAGCAAGCCATTAGGCAGAAGTCTGGTAGTGGGAGCACACACCCTTAATCCGATTACATGCATTTTGTAGAACATGCAATTTTGTTTTGACAAGTCTGACAAAGCAGAATCTCTGTGTGTTCAAAGACACAGCCAGCATGGAGACACACGCCTTTAATCTCAGTACCAACCATAGAGACCTGGAGGTCTGTATAGACAGGCAGTGACGAGGAAGTCATGTGGTTGGGTTTACAGCCAATGAGAAGGCAGTACAGAAAGGCAATAAAAGGACAGGACACAGGAAGAAGCTCTCTCAGGGAAAGGACAGCAGCAAGTGGTAAGATAAGGTGGTCTCAGCTCTTGGCTACTGCTCTATCTCTGGTCTTTTAACTCTTTATTTGACTCTGTGTTTCTTATTTAATAAGACCATTTAGAATTTCATCTACAGGGTCATAGGCACAAGTCTGTACTCCTGACCTCACTTTCTCAGCACCTCCATCCTATCACACAAGTGAAAGCTCCCAGCCCCGTTTTCCAGCACGGTTATTGCAGCCACCTCCTCACTGGCTTCCTGGCTCCAGATCATGATTCTGCCCATCTACCTTCAGTCCAAGAAGAGCACTAGCAGAGTGAGTCTTATCAAACCTATGTGAGAAAAATCTTATTTAATTCATTTATATGTATTTATGTGTGTTCACAAGTGTGTACATGTGCCTGGAGGCCAGAGGAGGACATTGGCTGTCCTATCATCTCCATCATCCCTTTGTGGCAGGGTTTCTCCTTGAGTCTGGAGTTAGACTGATGGCCAGCAAGTCCAAGTAATCCTCCAGTCTCCGCCCTAAAAGTTGTTAGGATGACAGGTATATCCAGCCACACTTGGCTTTTTACATGAATAGCGGGGATTTGAACTTCCTCCTCCATGTTTGCACAACAAGCACTCTGACCTACAAGATCATCCAACTCCTTAGTCCACCCGAAAACTTGATTACTGACTAACCTGGGTGATACATACATGAAGGTCATCATATTGTTTTTCACATCTTTGAATATTTTTAATTAAAAAAACATAGTTGTAGCTGGAGTTTTCTCCAGTCCTGACTGGCCCGTGGTCAAGACAAATCTCTCTCACCTGTCGGTCCTGCAGCCCCTCAGACCCAAATAAACACACACAGGCTTATATTATTTAAAACTGCTCAGCCATTAGCTCAGGCCTAACACTGACTAGCTCTTACACTTAAACTCTGCCATTTCTGTTAATCTATGTGTTGCCACGTGTTCTGTGGCTTTACCTGTGTGCCTGTTACATACTGCACCTTGGATGGCGGGCTGGTATCTCCTGACCCAGCCATCCACTTCCTGGCCTTCTCTCTGCTTATCCTGCCTATACTATACTTCCTATCTGGCTACTTGCCAATCAGTGTTTTATTTATCAATCAATCAATCAGAGCAACACATTCATAGCATACAGAAAGACATCCCCAGCACATAGTGTCAAAATTTGTTGAAGTTCCATGATTTCTCTATTGGGACCCTTTCAATCCTTCCTGCTATCACAAAGATCACCCACAAGAGCCTACATAGGATGAAAGGAAAACCTGGCTGTGATGTCTGTCACCCTATAGATCACCAGGATTAACTCACCTGATCTGGCTGACGTAAGCAAATGTCCCCTCTCCCACTCACCTCTCAACATGCAACCCTCTCAAAGCTGCAGATTTGGTCAAAAAGGATGACCATCACCAATGACTGTTCTTCATAAATGAGCTGCTACTACAGTCCCCTGCTATAACCTCCAAACTCTTAAAAGTTTTCATGATGTGCTCCACCCCAACCAAGACCACTCTGATCCAATTCCTACTGTTTATTCACTCTTAATTTTACAAGATGGAGTCTCATGTAGCCCACATTGACCTCTAACTCTCAATGTAGCTTGAACTCCTGACCCTCCTCTTTTCATGGGAAATTCTCCCCACCATTTTATGTCTCTCCTCTCCGTTACTCTTCTAGTCTCATCCTCCACAATACTATACACTTTCTGTTATTTTTTCATGGTTTGGATCCTCACATCAGAGCAGGCCTTCCCAACTGTGCTTAAGCCATGGGTTCCTTGGCAGAAGATGTAACACAAGGAACTTGTCAAAACAAAACTGCATGTTCTACAAAACGCATGGCACTACTAAACACGGTGACACATGTTGCCATCCAGCTGCTTAGGAAGCCAAAGCAGAAGAATCATTTGAGCCTAAGAATCGAGTATCATCCTGATCAAGACTTTTTCTTATAAAAATATAGTAAGTGGACTGGGAGTGTGGTTCAGAGGTAGTGTGCATTCCTATTATGGGAATTATAGTGGATTTGATCCCTACTGCTGCAAACAAAAAAAATTCAAATAAATTTTTAAGTAAATAGGACTGCATACAATGAAAGATAGACATCAGAATATTCTTTCAAATGTTTAGGGTATAACATACATGGTTCCTTATTAAATAGCAAGTTCCAAAGCCTGGAGATAGCTTAGAAGAGCGCTTACTGCTCTTGTCGAAGACCTGGGTTTGGCTCCCAGAATTGCTATCAGGCAGCTCATGATCATCAGTAACTCCAGTTCCGGGGGATGTGATGGACTTTCCCAGCCTCTACAGACTCCTGCATGCACTTGGAACACGAAAACTCACACAGACTCACACACATGCATATAAATTAAAAAATAAATAATCTTTAAAATAATAAGCCATAGTGGCTCCAATGAATCTAATCACTCACATAACCTAACAACTCCCACAACATCATAATGGAGTAAGAAGATACATGTAGTCTTTAATGGTGGAAAGTTCCATAGATATCACTTTTACTTTAATTTGTTATACTATAGGAAATGTTAAATTCCAGGTTGGTGATAATAAAATAATGTGCATGCTCTATATTCATGAATTTCCCTTGAATTTTATCATTATGGATCCTCCCTCTGAAACCATACACCAAAGTAAACTTTTTCTTTGATAAGGAACTTTTGGCCACGGCATTTTTACCACAGCAACAGAAAGTAACTAACACACTGGTGCTTTACAGACCATCATCTATCTCATCTAACACAGTGCCTTCCTACCAGGTCTTAATGGAGACCATGTTTCTAGGGGATTTTTGTCTTCTTGCTTACATTAAAACCTCACTTCTGAGGCTTGGATCCCACCTTATTGAACAACTTTCCCACTAAGTAACACAGGCTTCTCTCTCTAGGAGATTTAAAAAGGAAACAAGTGGAAAAATAGAAAAGGAAGAGAAAGCAGAACTGGCCATTTGGAAGACCAGATTACTTCTGTATAGAGAGAGAATAGGAAGGCAATATTAATGATAAAGTAATAATTATATAAATTTTAGTTCCCCATCTCCATAAATGACAAAATTTCTCCTATAGCCAAATATATAATTCCTTTTTTATTCTGTGTGTGTGTGTGTGTGTGTGTGTGTGTGTGTGTGTGTGGTTTGTACTCATGTCTGTACAAGCAGAGGCCAGAAGTCTACAAAGTGTCTACCTCTGTTATTGCTCTCTACCTTTTTCTTTTTCTTTTTCTTTTTTTTTTTTTTTTTAAACAGGGCCTCTCATGGAACCTGGAGTTTGCCAATTTGGCTATACTGGTAGGCCCACAAGTACCAAGGATTATACTGCCTCTGTCTCCCCAGCTCCAGGACTATAACCTGAACTACCATTCCTGTTTTGTTGTTCTTACTGTTTTTATTTTGTGAGTTTTTGTGTCTTTCTTTTTTTTAACGTAAGTGCTGGGTATCTCAACTCAGACATTCATGCTTGCATGACAAGTACATTAGTGACTGAGCCATGTCTCTCGAGCCTCCCGTGGTTTTAGATTTGGCTGCATTAGTCACTCTCTTTCTGATTGCTATGCATGTCATTAATACATTACTTTTCTTAAAAATTTATTTACCTCTAAAAGAATGACAAGAAAAAAATTGGCCAAGAAAAACAATGCCCTGGTGAAGAAGTCTGTGGGCAAGGCCCAAAGGGAGCAGAAGTTCCAATGGCCAAATTCAGGGCAAGCTCAACACCCTAGCCTGCCTGATGACACTGTATATTTACACAAAGGGGTTCTCCACCAGAGCTTATCGCCCCAGCTGTGATGTCTGAGCCACTGGAGACAGGACAGCCCTTCAGGAACTCCTTAGCAAAGGACTTATCAAACTACTTCCAAAGCACAAAGCTCACGTAATCTAGATGGGAAATGCTACTATGGAAGATGCCCTAGCTGCTGGGAAGATGCATAAAGAGATTCAACCAACTGTGTGTTTGGAAAAATCAAAGCTTTATTAAATAACATTCTGAAATTAATTAAAAAAAATAAGTATTCTAAATGTATAACAGAATACATTACATATAAAAGATATACAGCAGTTTCAAACTCAGAAGGAAAACAATATCCTCCACACTAAAAGTTATCAAAATAATTACACACTGAGATTAAATAAACTTGGTTCAAATCCTTAGACCACACTGTAAATTATAAGGCCAGATGTTAATGATTTCTGCATAGAAAACAGAACAACTCTAATTTTAAAAAAAAATCATAAAAACAAAACCCTTTACCAATGTAAAATAAAAATTTGTTTTAAAGAACCTTTCTATAGTAGGATAATTATCTTCAAAATATACAGAAGATTTCTACACAGCATCAATTTCTCTCCCATCTAAGAACTAAAGATTAGATGGTCACTGTAATTACTCCATTATGCGTTGGGTATCTGTTTACCTGTCAGTTTAATAAAACTCTGGTAACTGCAATTTTCATCAAAAGTGTATTTCAAGCAGCCTCTCACCTGGTCTCTTCGTCATTCCAAGCGATGCGCATGCCTTTCCCACCGCCACCTGCTGAGGCCTTGATCATCACAGGGTAGCCTGCCAGCAGGGAAGAATGAGACAGATGCTCAGTCTTTGATCATGTGGGCGTATGAACATGACAACTGACCACATGTTCAGTAACACAGACGACAATAATTTATTTAAAAGTTTCTTTCTTCAGAGTTACAGAAACACTATCAATGTAATGACCTTCCTATCTTAATGAATGAGCATTTTTAAAAAATAGTATTTGTATCAATAAATATATTTCCCAAGTAATGAAATAAAATCTAAACAAACGAAACAAAACAAAAACCAAATTACTTGTCAGACAATTCCAAAGTCAGAAATATAGTCTGAACTAGCCAATGATAAAAGCAGTTTACACAGCATGCACACATGTGCACATACACATTTATGATTCTAAAAACTGCCACCTGCATGCATAACAAATTAATTTCTTTCTCATATACAAGTACTTTGGGTATTTTCACATTAAAGGTCACAGAGAATGCCTACAACATTTATCAGTATAATTGGCAGGATAACATTAAGGGGAAAAAATGGAACAGGGCTATTTCCCAGACGAGCCAGAGTTCATTGCTAAGACTGGAGAAATGACTACTACAGTTCTCTATACATTCAACAGGTTGTCATGAAGATACAAAGTCAGGACCCAATAAAGGCCAATTTCAGTTACAATTTTATGAGACGAGAGAAAGTCATAAGTTATCATTCTACAATCTCTTGAACTATATGTGCAAAAAAAGTAAGTCTCAGCAGTGAGGCAGAGGCAGGAGGATTTCTGTGAGTTCAAGGCCAGCTTGATCTACAGAGTCCCAGGACAGCCAGAGCTTTGTACTCAGATCCTGTCTCAAAATAAGATAAACCAAAAAAGAAAAGTCAGCCTCCCTCTTTAATGGGTCTCTGGAAACTCAGTGGAAATAGTCACACACGTAGTTCCATCTGTCATTGTCTTTCCTCAGGAAAGACACAGTGAGCCAAACAGGACCCTTCCTGCCTGTGATTTTGTAACAGCATTCAACTCTAGCTGTAGGACTCTTACAGGAAAAAGGAAAAAAGGGACCAAATGTCACAGACCTTTGACCCCAGCACACAAAACAGTATCATTGATTTAGTTAAAACAGCACTTGCATCTTCAATATTTCATAATTAAATCCATTAAAATATTTTTGCTATGCTTATATGGGACAGCATTTTGAAAACAACACAAGTGCAGTGAGAAGAAATATAAATGTATTGTTCTTACTTTGTGGGCCTTATAATCCAAGAAGAGAAAAGCAAAAGACCTAAATAATTTCATCCTTGGAATTCAAAATAGCAAAGGACCAGAGGAAGATAGAGAAAAGGGGGGTAAAGACCATACAACAGGAAGGGTCAGTTCAGTGACACAATGATACACATGGAGCCTTTGAACATTTTTGGGCAAGAGCTATAGAAACAGAACATAGGTGAGGAGACAAGGGAAGTTTTACGAAATGAGTGAAGCAATTCAGTGGAAATATAAACTACAGCAGGGATACAGGTGGCTGGTGAAGGGGATTTTGCATGTTTGCATACTGGACCCCGCCAGGGGTCATGCATGACATTTATTCTCACAGTAGGCAAGCAGGAAGGGAGGCCAGCATTTGTCTCATTCAGTGCTCCATGACTGTCCATGAAGAAGTCATATTGAAATATGCTTTAAAAAATGTAAAACTGGGTGGCGGTGGTGCACACCTTTAATCCCAGTGCTGTGGGATGTTCTGTATGTCCTGTGGGAGCCCTTCTTGGGTTCTTTGTGGCGTTACTCAGCAGGTCCGCATAGAGGATGATTAGGACCATGGGCCTGAGTGCAGGTGTCTGAGATGGTCTGCACTTGGCTGTGCTGGGGGATGGTCTGTATGTCAAGTTGTTCTGATTGATCAATAAATAAAACCTGATCGGCTGTGGCTAGGCAGGAAGGATAGGCGGGACTAACAGGGAGGAGAAATAAAAGGACAGGAAGGCAGAAGGACTGACGGCCAGCCGCCGCCATGACCAGCAGCATGTGAAGATGCCGGTGGGCCACCAGCCACGTGGCAAGGTATAGATTTATGGAAATGGACTAATTTAAGCTATAAGCACAGTTACCAAGAAGCCTGCCACGGCCATACAGTTTGTAAGCAATATAAGTCTCTGTGTTTACTTGGTTGGGTCTGAGCGGCTGTGGGACTGGCGGGTGACAGAGATTTGTCCTGACTGTGGGCAAGGCAGGAAAACTCAAGCAAAATCCCAGCACTCGGGAGGCAGAGGCAGTTAGATCTCTTTGAGTTTGAGGCCAGCCTGGTTTTCAAAGCAAGTTCCAGGACAGGCTCCAAAGCTACATGGAGAAGCCATCTCGGAAAAAAAAAAACAACAGAAGTCTACTTTGGAGAAGTGAAAAAGTGTGATGTAAAAACTCAAAACTGGCATACCTACAAAATCCTATCTACAACTTATGGTCTTTTTATAGGCAAATGACCCATCACCACTCCCCTCAAAGAGCATGTTTATCAGCTCCATCCACACTTATTCATCCTTGCAACAGGAAAGCAAGGGGTGAGGGAGCATTCTCCTCCCATCCCTCTTCCATTTCATGTCCCTGAAGATTGTGAATCTGCAGTCTTCTCAGCCATATATTATACTGATCCTCAACTATGCAGTCATTTGTGATTTTGAAAACAAGATGGAAAATTCAACCTGTCCAAAAATCTCTCTGGTTAGACCTATGAATACCTGCAACCCAGGAAGTCAAGAGTCTCTGATAAAAATGTAAAAAGCTGAGTATGAAAAGGTTGGGAGGGGCTGCAGCGCCAACTCCACAGTTGAGAACATGTTGCTTCTGCAAAGGACCTGGGTTCCATTAGCACCTACATTAGGCTACTCACAAACATCTTAGCTCCAGTTCCAGGGAATCCAATGCCCTCTTCCAGCCTCCAAGGGTTCTTGCACACATGTGGCACACATAAAGCACACACACAAATAAAAATTAATTCATTTTGAGAAGAAAATGATAGAAGGGAGAGAGGAAACTAGCAGAAGTTGGTGATAATAACTCTGGGCTACACTCTGAGATCATATAGAAGTCTTATACTCAGTTTGTGGTGCTAGATAAATCATTATATCTCAGATGACACCATCACATGAAGAAAGAAAACCATTCCACACAGATGATAGCAAAATGAAACAGCCTAGCTCCTCTCCTACCATCTCACTGTGTCCAGCCATTCTAGGTAAGTTAAGTCATGCAATGCCTAGAACTAGAAGTGGGAAGAAAAATATGGATTTAGTAAAAGTCAATATTTCTTAAAAAATTAGAAATTATCAACAAGAACAATGACCATTGCCAACTCTCTTTTACCTACTCAAGATATGCAGTTCCCATGAACAATCTCTTATTTTTCTAATCCTCTAAAGAACTGCCTCCTGATTTGGCTTTTGTCTGTAATGCATTTGTTTAATTTATGTTCTTCAGCTGACATGTGTTTGAAACAGAACCACCTTCCTTATCACAAAAAAATACAAAGTATCCGAGACTTTAAAAGGAGGCAAGCTCCCTTCTGATACTAAGAGGTCACTTCTAATTTTACATTTTTTAAATATACAGGCATACATGTTTTACACACACACACACACACACACACACACACACACACACACACACACACACCCCACTCTTGGGTTTGTTTGTTTTCTGAGACAGGATCTGACTATGTAGCCATGCTGGCTTAGAACTCCCTACCCAGCTGGGGCCAGCCTTGGTCTACCACCATCCTGGTTCTGGGATCACTCACACGATGCTACTCCTTGTTCTCCTCACCTCTGCAGTCTTCTCACTGGATGCCTTTGGGGCAGACATCAGGAAACTCCAGAGCTCCAGCTGCAGCACAGCCTCTAGTCTTTGTTTCCTCTCTGCACAACTGTGGGTAAATGAATACTTCCAAAAAGAAACCTGCAGAGTTTCTACTTGGTACATGACAACAGAGAAGGATGTCCCTCAGAGTGGCCAGCTTTACTCTTTTCTTGAAATGACTTCCCTAAACAAATTGATATTTTAAGTGAATTTAAATACTAAGAGTTGAGCTTAGGCAAACGCAATGAAGAGTGAACCCTAATAGAAGAGCAGTTGCAGAATTCTGTATGGAGAAGAAAGTCAGCTGACAGCGCTTTCTAAGATCACAGCTGTGCTGCAGTGAATGAGCTGCATAACTGGACTATGATTGTAAGGTCTTTGTAGGACAAGTGACAGACAGCTGTGATATGGATGTGGCCAGTCACAAAAGAGAAGGACAAAGACTTGTTTAATCTAGAGTTTGAGTCACCATGTGTTGGAATCAGAAGATAAGGAAAAGTCTAGAGTTTAGAGGCTTTCCCTTCAGTTACGGGTGCTAACTACATAAAGAACCATCTTTCTCGAGCAGCTGATAATAAGATGTTTACCTGCACAGGACAAGGTAAATAGCCAGACTCTCCCAGCAAATGCCACCCAACATGGGGTAAGCGAAGGGCCATAACAAGGCAACTTAAAAGCTGATAAAATATCTAAATGATAAGATATTCATAATTCATTTTTAAATCACATAGATTTTTAACTTTAGTTTCTTATACAGAACTTTCATAGGATATAAAAACCAATGGAGAAGGGAAAGTACAAAGGAGACAAAAGCAAAATATTCCTTGGGAAATACCCAGTTCCAAACTTAGTAGTACTGATCAGTAATCTCACCAAGTGAAATAAGACTGGGGGTGAGAAAGTTATCTTTTTAAAACAGTTGGGAAACCTACAAAGGCCTTTGTGTCCTAAAGAAATGTTCAAAGTGAAAAGAAAGCAAAAGGTACTACAGGGAGAAGAGATCTCTAGACGGAGAGAATAGAACCTGATAATGGACAATGGAACTCAGAGAAGAAAACAAAAGCCTTAACAGAAAAGATCCAGACAGGAAGGAAATCCCCTGGGGAAAGTCTTGTGTTAGAATCACAGTCAAATTGAGTGTTATATGTTGCATTTTACACATCGTTTTATGTTCCTTTCATGT